TTTGCATTTCTGGAGGAATAGAAAATATCATAAAATTGTGAGGTTTGCAGGCTGTGACCTCAATGAATGAACGATATCTTTTAGATGAATCAGACAGATTCAATGCATCTAACACTATCTTTCAACGACGTCTGTTGCATGTTCTATTCTTGCTACAACAACCGCTACAACAACCGCAAGAATTTCAACGTATTCTCGACTATGGGTATCGGTGTCAATGCATTTTTTTTTGCGAAATTCACGACCATATCCGACTCCAAACTAGCAAATCTTAGCTCACACTAAACTTTTTGAAACCTACAAACACTATGTTTTACTACTATAATGCTGAGTTATTTGCAAAACTCCGGACAGCAGGTGTCTGCGGTGAGGAACGAGCGCGCTATTGTCCTTTCCGGGGAGTAATGCGTTCACCACCATACCATGCTGGTCTTTCGTTTCGCCTGTCTCTTATTCTATCGATCTTTCTGCCATCAGCAATCAACCGTCAATCGATAGAACTAGCTGAGAGACAGACGAAACGAAGGACCCGAATGGTGTGTTGGTGAACGCGTTTCTCCAGAAAGGACAATAGCGCGTTCGTTCCCACCGCACCTGCGGTCCGGAGTTTTGCAAATATCTCAGCAATCTTGTGGTTACATTTCGCCTGCAAACACTGTCAAAATCTCTATATCTTAGGGCGAGCTTCGCTTGTAAGTTCTCAATTTTTTAGACAACGAAACAAGTTTATGCCGCTTTTTTCTTTGGTCCTTGTATTTCGAAAACGAAACGAATTGAACAATGGAAATCTCGCCCATCACGATGGATAGTGTTCCCCAAAGGTTTCCGACTGTTGCTATGATTCCGGATTATTTGAAGGTATAAACCTAGTTTCAAATTTATTGAGAATTTTAATTCTAAGAAGCTTGAAATTAAAAGAATATTTACAAAAATTGAATATAACCCTTGAAGCGATAGATCGTTTTTCCTACGAATCTGTAAAGTTCTCTAATCTTTAGCTATTCTATTGATGAAGAAATCATCATTTACTTTTGAAAAACCAGCTGTGCCCCGAATGTGGTGAATACGTTGACACCTCAGTCAGACAGCTGTCAAGGATTCCTTCGTAGAAAACGCTTTAATTAAAACGCTTTTACAAGAAAAATGGCTGTTCTGACGTCCTATTTGCAAGCAACTCCACACTAAGCAGCTGTTGCCGTAATGAAAGCAATTGGAGAGACTTTAGTGGTGCCCCTTAAGACACCAGATGAAGCAAATGAAAGACCACCCACCTTGGAATGACGTATAAGGTCCAATCCTCTTATATGAGGTAATTCTTCTTTTTTAGGAAGCAGTTCGGATCTCACGATATATCATAGTATTTTTTAAGAGGGAACAGTCCACGATAAAGGATTTCGCGACAACGCGTAGTGATTTCAAGCGCGTCTCTGACAACAACCTGGACATCCTCTTCTGCAACACCACACCGCCGAGAACTACTCAATAACGCTTGTTGGCGTTGCTCGTTAGGTTACGAAAAATAAATAAGGTGTAGTAACTTTATGGTGGCAAAAATAGCAGTCAGAAAAAAATCCATGTTAAGGCCTTGCCATTTTTTTCGAGCTTACATTTCCACAATCTTTCGTCAATCATTTTCTAGTTTCAGAATTTTTTCAAGCAAAACAAGGTTTCAGTTTCTAAAAACAATCAGATATTACGGGTAAGGGCGTGGGCGCGTGTGACACAGTGGTCGGAGACGTCCTGCAACACATACGTGGGATCGATCCCCGCGCCCGCGGCTCACCAAGCCTTCCATCCCTCAGAGTCGTCAAATTGGTACCTGACTTGTCTGGGAGGATAGCAGCACTGGCTCGATGCATCGGTAGGCCACCCAGTCATTGTAAAGGCCAAATATGCATTCAATCACCTCCAAACGATGCTTAATGAAGTCGAATGCATAACGCATCCCTCAGGGATTGATCAAGGCAGAGAGCTTTACCCTTATCATCTTAAAAAAATCAGACGGGATAAAGCATGCAAACAACTGATTTTATTTCGAACCTTTCAACTGAAAGCAACCTAAATCCGGTGGCGAACCGGCTACACAGGAATCCTCCGTAGGAATATGTACAAAAACAATGTTTTCAGAAAGAGAGAGAGAGAAAGGAATGTTATATGTTCCGATCGGGATTTTCAGCGAAGACCCACCGCATAAGCATCAATCCAGCAAGAAAGCAGGCGATTACTAAAAGAAGCACTGCTGCTTTGTAACAATAGGTACGACTGCCCGTGGTGGCGAAGACCTGGGGCAGACTTTGGCCAGACTGACCTTGGGATTTCAGGAAACCACAGTGGCCTAACTAGCAAATCTCCGATAAATGGTGATTATGCTGGGTCCCGCACAACCAGTGAGGACGGGTCGTTCAAGTGTCAAGCGTCAGGTGTTGGCAAACGTTTTTAACAAGACGGAATTTTGACTGTCTCGTCGTTCACGATGATCGTGGTATTGTTAAAGAATATTTTAAAAAAAAGTAATTAAATAAATTCAACTAAAACAGTAAGTTATAAAAAATTTTCCTGCAACTGATTTGGACACCCGGGGTTTCTCCTAGGTTCAACCACGGCTTGCTTTTTCATAAAAGTGAACGTCCACGTGGAATCAGTTACAATAATATATTACAGGACTTTCTATTCTCATGACATTTCAACGAATTTTGCAGCTGTGGTTTGGTTCAATGTGGTACCAGACTTCTCTGAGAGAATAGCAGCACTGGTAGGTAATCACGAGTTATTGTGAAGGCCATATATGCACCCAATCACCTTCAAACGATGGTTAATGAGGTTGAATGCACTGCGCATCCTTCAGAGATTGATCAACGCCGAGAGCTTTATCCTTTAATAATAATAGCGAAGTTGTAATGATCTCTTGTAAGCTTACCAAAAACGCATGACAAGTCAGCTCCGCATGTAGAGCATGGTCAGAAGTACCGTGCCATACACGCCTAGTCCTTGATTCAATCCGCATTACCAAGGCTCACCAGACCTCCCGTCCCACCGAAGTCTGTAAACTGGTACTAGACCTGTCTGGGAAAAAGTTACACCGATTTGATGGATTGCTGGGCAGCCACATGGTACTGTATGGCACAAATATGTATTCAATCACCTTTACGATGCTACGAATGAAGTGCAAGGCGCATCACGAAAGGGTTAATCAGTGTTGCATCCTTAGTGTCTTACCCTTTTTGTGGGAGTCCTTTGAAAGGTCATGTAAAGGTTGATGTCATCTGTAACCCAAACAAAGCCGTTTGGTTTTAGATATGCTCTATGGCATATTTCATGGATGGCCGGTGGACGAGTGTTCTCAACGACCTAGCATGGCATCGTCCCGAGGCAACGGTGGAATTGATTCAAGAACATATACGGCAGCCGAAAAATGATGCGCTTCATGTCACCATAATGAATTGTATCCACTTTTGACAGTGTCATTTGAGCGACTAGGAAGTCAACTGGGATAAAGAACGTTAGGGCGAGTGACCTTAAGACAAAAATGATAATGGCTTAATTTTACTCAGTACGCTTTTTTTCCCTTCATGAGTCGCATTCAGTAGCATCTCGATGCGTCTGTAACAAAGTTTGTTATTCCACATTTATTTCATATAGCCCGTGTTCACATCAACTGTCCGGATCCTATTACTTTCATTTTATTAGTTCGCACATCCATCACTCACGAAAATCTTCCAGCTTTTACGTACGCGTTCGGCTTTTGCTCGAAGATTTTCGTCGTCGTTGCTACCGCTATTGAATACTGATAGAGTAAAACCTCTTTCACCTCTTGGTATAGCCGTGCTAGAACGTTCTCTTGTGGATTTAAGGGAATGATGCAAAACGAGACAAGCTTGATACCAATTTCCCAACCCCGGAAGATGGGAGATTTGGCGCACCTCGGGTGGAATAGAAACAACGCCGCATTCGTAACGATCCTCATCGATGCCCCTGTACTACTCAACCCCTGAAATTATTCTATAGAGTATTCAAATAGAAAAAATTTCTATGTTTTACTCCCTATTGATAAGCAAATACTGCCGTGAAGACCTACTAATACTAAGTAGCGGCTCCAATTATATTCGATCTCGGTGTGCCGATAAGCGTATACACTGTAACTGTTCCGCCTGGTCATCGGAGTGCATCTTTCTTGGTTTTGTAATTGGCGAAGCTTTGGTGAGGTTTTGAATCCTTTTCCCACCCTCCGTAGCTTCTACCATAACTGTGCTCTTCTCTTTTTAAGATCATTACGAAACCAATTCAAAAAACTCATGAAGGCAGCTGCAAAAAATTTATCCAAAGTGTTGATACTACAGTAAGCAGTACTACAGCCGTGGCAAATTCTTAGACACAGAAGATGATAAACTCTTCATTTGGTGTTATGTTATGTCATGATTGTCAGCTATAAAATTGTTCCTGGCTAGCAAGAAACAATGCTGAGCTGATTATCACTTAAACAAGGACCATTAGACCGGTATAAAGATTGGACCTCTCATTATCCTATCAGGAGCAGATAATTGTTGACTGAAATACCTGTAAAAATTTATCGATCCGATAAGAATTAACATTCTCAGGTCCATAGGGGATAAATCATGAACAATAGCTTAGAACAATGGCTCAGTAGGAACACACGAAGTTCACCAGTCAATAAGACTGATACTATATATTTACTCTAAGGATTACAGTAGTTACTATGCTGAAAAACAAAAACTAAAAAAATCTGGAACATTTATGAGAACACGGTATTATAGCGTTAATTTCTGCTAACACTGTTATAACAGAGGTAAGATGGAATACATTTATAAACCTATACAATTATCTATTAATAAAAAAGTAGAATCTTCTTTTTAAGGTTCTTTTTTCTGCTACCAAGAAAACCTCAAATGTGCAATGCAGTGATAAGGGGCTTCTTTCTGATAACGATGCTTAGTGAATCTTAAGACCAACAAACTCAGTATCAAAGTGAGTAACTATCATAATCACAAATTTACTTCGCCATTGGTATAGAAAAAATTTCGAATATCCGATCGAATTACTGGATTACAGAAGAAGTAAATCAATATACGTATGGCTGAAGTGAACATATAGACAAATGAAACGGAATCCGAGAAAAATGTATGGAATGTTGACGAGAGTAATGGATCTTCAGTGTCATGCAATAGTGGATGATCAGATCTGAAAAATCATCTCGTAAAACCATCATGATTCGTAATCAAATCATCTTAGTGCAAAGTTTTGTTTAATCCTCTAGAAGTGGACTATAAAGAGAAAGTGTTTGTCTAAAGATTAGGTTTAAGCGAAGTGGCTTGGGACGGTTTATGAAACACCCGTAGTCTTCAGTTTGATATCGCGCCCAGACCAACTTTTCATTCCTTCGTAGCCCGCAGACAGGTATCAGATGTGTCTGGGAGCATAGTATAATTGAAATCACTTATCTGCAGGTCTCACAATAACTATGTAGGCCTAATTTGCTTGCGTGGCCTTTACGATGCTACGAATGGAGTGGCACATATTGCGCATTATTAAAGGATTGATCAAAGCTGAGTCCTTTATACTTCATTCATTCCACTGATAAGCAGAAACCAAAGAGTTGCCCGTGCAACTCCTCAAGTGAGTGTTTAAAGCTTGCTCAAACAATTCGCCAACAAGCCCGCAAAACCCTATGAATTATTGCAGTAATCTTCATGCTTTGCGCACAAGACCTTAATCGAAAGCCTACAGCAGATTGCTACAGCCCTTTTTAAATGAGCATGTGAGGAAGCAGTTGAAGAACGGAACTCTGGCGATTTTAAAATCGGAATCGGCGTCTGAAGTAAACAACTGAACCACTCTGCAAATTCTGCTTTTTCCGCTCACTAAATCCCTTCTAAATTAGAACCTTGTCAACGGAGCATAACGAAAAGAAAAAAACTTCAGGAGTATAATAGTGACACCAGACAGCTATCGTTTCGCCTCCAGGTATCAATGAAGTCTCCATTCACCCCTGTCAAGCGCGACAGTTCTCCGGCAAGTTCTGCTCGCTCAAAGGGTTTAACGAGCATCAAATTTCAACTCTAGGCTCCAACAATTTGTGACGAAATCTGAATGTCTTGTCGGTGGTTTCCTGTTCTGCGCTTGGCATCTAGTGGAATTCAATCATTAACGGCTTTTCTGGACCGGATGTCAACGAATCAGGTTTCCGGTGCTCTTGACTTTCAACACTTTGGTTTATGTACGCAGCGACTCTGAGCTTTGATCGACGGCTTAATTCGGAACATTGGATTCCGTCTCTTCGTTGAGTGATAGGAGACATTGCAAGCACCATCCTCTTTTTAACTTATGTAGACTACTCACTTATTTTATTAAATGTCGAATAACTTTGGTGGCTTTGGTGGCCTCTAGTAAAATTCACTCGCCTCTACAGCGTATCCGAGCTGCCCCGAGGTTACGTTTATCCTATCAAGCGGCACGAAGAATATCATACTATCATACTTTAGCTACGATATCGCTCATTTTGCCTTTCTTAGTGTAATCAGAAAACTCTATCAGCTCAGATGAACCTAGTGAGAGAAAGTTTTCTTTTGTACATCGTAGTTTGACATCGTGAGCCATCCACTTGCAAGTGTAAGGTGTGATAAAGCATTGGGCGGAGTGATGAAACTCTTTTACTGCGACAATCTGGCGAACTGACGTTTGGCACATATAAGCTTCATACATGCAGACAGACTCGTAAAAAATTATTGGATAACAACATTTTTAAAGTGTCACGTAAAAATACTCAAACTGGGTTAAAACTTATGTTTTCGTGCGAATTGAGCGCATTCCAATAGTCTAATCAGATGCTTTGGTTTCAAACAGACAGAAACGACTTAATGACGATAACGACGGTGATGTACTCAGTTGCAATTTAACTTAACAGGAATAGCGTCAACAAACCTTTCCATCACTGTTAGTATAAGATGAAGTGTATTCGAAATCAGATAACTGGCTACGATAGCCACCATCGTCATGATAGCACATCGAACAGAAGCGGAAACCTTCTTCATCGACCGTATGGAAAGCGTTACTAAAAAATATTAGCAAAAGTTTTTAGAAAGCTCTTGTTGAACAGTAACAAAGTTTTATGGCAAATCGTTAATGAATAGTCTGTAATTCTACAATTAATTAACTTTCAAATGTGTAAAGTTTCCACTAGAAGATATTGTTGTTGAAAAAGGATGAAGAATACAGGTGAAGAGGTAGTATATCACATCAATATTTCTCCTTGTCAGAAGTTTTGTCGTAAAACATGTAGCATAAAATGTGAACCGTGTAGCGAAGTGATTAGAGGCGCTATGTAAAAAATGGGCATGTGGTCATTGGATCGATCCGCCGCCTCGTTTTAGCCAAGGCCCATCTTCTGCAGTGAGTAAATTATCACCAGACCATTATAAAAACACTGATTCAATACATCGATAGGTCTCCGCAATTCATTGGTCTCATGGGTTAATTGGCCAAATACGCAGTCAGTAATTTCTATGATTCTTAATGAGTCAAGTGTGGAGCGCATCTTAAAGATCGGTCTAAACCAATGTCGAGCGCTTTTTCCTCAATCGCTTATACCATTAAACGGCTGGATCATGTCTTCGCAGTGTTCACTATTATTTCTTTATGACCAATTTTGCAAAAAACCACGGTCTCTCCTATCTGAGACGCATGTGGGGCCTTGCCTAAAGCTGCCCTGGAATACACACTAGGTCAATCGGTGGCTTGATCTCCCTTTACGGCTCACCAAATCTTCCATCTCTATGAATGAAAGATGAAGTTCTCGACGTTGATCAATCCCTCAGGGATGCGCCATGCATTCGATTTCATTAAACACCGTTAGAGGTGACTGGAATGCATACCCTGTCTTTACAGAGACTCGCTCTGGCCTACGCATGCATCGAGCCAGTGCTGCTGTCCTCCGAGGCAAGTATGTTACAACTTTATCGACGACGGAGTGATAGAGGGCTTGGTGGGCCTAGGGCGAGACCGATCCCATGTGTTTTGCAGGACGCTTTCAACCACTGCACTACACATGTCCCTTCCATCCTTATGCGATCAGAAGATTGGTACCAAACCACTTTGAATAGAATCCAGCACCGAATTTATACATAGGTTCATTGTATCATGTACCACCGCAACCCGTTCATTGTATAGGTCAAATGTGTGCAAAATTTACTCTGCGAAGCTTGATGAGGTCGAATGCGCGCATTCCTTAGAAACTGATTAACGCCGAATGCTTAATCGTCTACTCTTCCCTATCTGGGGAATCTCGAACGGGTTAGTGTCGCCGGACTACTTCACGTTTCCCCTGATGGCGGATGTGAATCACAAAACAACGTTGTACTAATTCTCTGACGCAGACGAATTCAGCAGATAAACTTCCTGTTTATGCTACGCCCGTAAGTGTACTTTAAGCATGCATACATCAATATTCATGCAGATTTCATGGGTTTGTCCATGGGTACGGTAATTGCTTCCAGCATTTTAAAATCTTAAGTTCCTGCAGAATGTATTGAAGGTGATTGACGACCTTCTCTAAGAAAAAATTCAAACATTTAGCTTGGAAGAGCCTAATAAATTACCAATGACCATTCCTAGAGCACTTTCCCCCTAGCCCCTTAGGCAGAGAAAGAAGGGCTCCTTGTGAGTGCCTTATTGCCGAAAAACAACGAAAATAGTGACCCTCACTGAGTGCACGTATAAAAAAAAACTAAAACGAAAGAAAATCATGTCAAAGAAATGAAAGGAAAAGTAAAAATTACTTGCAATACTGGCACGCTTAGAGGAACGCTCCTGAAAGGCAGAAGATTTAGAGCTATTCAACGGTTCAATACCACGCCCATCGCAAAGAATTTCTTTCTTCTGATCGCTCGCCGTAATTTTTCGGATAATAACCTAAATGTTCAAAATTTTTCGTACTTTCTTCGATGTATAAGATTTCTTTATTGATCTATTAAAATATAAAATCAAAAGTAAAATGTAATAAAGTGAATCTTTTTTCATGTAAGGTGTCCCACATAAACAATAAATAACGTTGACTATAGTCACTTTAATAATGTAAACAATTTAAGATGAATTTGCGGAGAATTTTACACCGTAATAAAGTGTAACGCTTGGTCTGACGAGAAGTTCAGTGATAGAAATGTCGTTCAATACTCCGCGCAAGGCCATCGGTTAGAACCCACTCTGGACCATTTAAGCTTGTCATTTCTGCGGCGTCGGGAATTTCGCACTGAACTTACCTACCTATGCGAACGCTATAGCTGTCCCAGAGTTCCTGGGACAATTGACCTGAGCAGAATCCAGAGACATTCTTGAAGTAGGCCAAAAAGTCCTCAAGCAGTGGCTTAACCCATCCACGAAACCCGAAGACCTTCGTGGAATATGGGTTCCAGGAAACGAATAGAGTTTGATTACTGCTGAGATCTGCGCAGTATGTGATGTCTAGCCATGAAATATAAGAAAAAATACAAAGTATTTGATCTGAGTTGCGAAATTTTCTGCTCAAACTTGACATTTAAAATTAACAACAAAATCGAGGAAAATGAATACGGTAAGGAAAAAATTGCAGAAAAGTAAATCTTACAATGTTTAAAGCGAGCAGTATGACAAATGGTACCACTGTTTGTGCAATGGTCATTAGGTGAAAGTCAAAGAAGTAGTAAATCTCAGAATCATACGTCCACGTCCTGAAAGTTACAGTTAGGACAGTTCGAATTACTAGATTGTATTTGGCCTTCGTGCTTGTATCACAGAGAGTTTATTACTGACTATTTACTACTTACTACTACCTACCTACTTACTTACTTTATTACTGCTTTACTTTATTATAGGCCAAAATTCAAAGATTTTATACCGTCTTAGCACAAAGGCGATAATTTAGGCCTTAAAATAAAAGAGACGGACTAGGAAATTTCTGTCTACAAACGGCTGTAACCTAAACTCTGTGAAGGTTTAACACTCCTAAAATTTTGTATTATCAATGTCTCATTGCATTCAGTTAGGCTGCTCATAAGTAGCCAGGTAAAGGAGTAAGTGAAACAATAGCTGTAGAACAATAGTTGTAATAAACAGTAGTTTGTCCGAAACACGGCTGAACGACTGCCAGGGTCAAGGTCCTATACAATGTCTTTGTCTTTCGCTTCTTTCGGAACCCAGAAGCTCAGAGCGGCTACAACTTGTTACTGGAGTATAACCGAGAGAAGGTATAGAACATGCGTATATATCTGAAAAATGAATAAAAAAATAAAGATGAAACCTTGGTTGCGTTGTCATTGTACGAAAAAAATCTTCACATTGTGGATATACGGCAACTTCGGTGGCAAATGCAGTAGGAAGACGTAATATCACACAGACCAGAAGCGAAATGATTGCGGTGAAATATCGACCCGATGTTGAATTCATCGCCAAAAGAAAACGGCTTCGGCTGCAAATATGCACAAAATCTGTAATGCCAATTTTTAAAGGTTAAAAAGCAAAAATGCCGGAAATAACCTAACATATTCATTGCCGACTTATTATAATAATTCATAGAGCTGTTTATGAGTAACGAAGTGGTTATAGGAGCCGGCACCTCCCTGTACCTACGAGGTCTCCGGTTCAATGCCAACTCCTCTGGCTGCCCAAGCCATGTATTTTTCCTGGTTAGACATATTCGGATAAGACCCTTCTGAAAGGATGCAAGTACTGACTTGATAAGTGGATAGGGTATCACAAGTAAAGGAAGAATATGCCTTCAGTAACTTCTACGAGCCTATGAATGCAGTTGAATGCACATCCTATCCGTAAAAGAATGATGGCCACCGAATAATTCAGCCTTTAACCTTTAGTGGTAGAGGCCATAATTTTGAATTTGGTCTATAAGGAACCGTAGCCATTTTTCGAAAATTTCATCCAATGTCCCCCATTCGATTCGACAACTTGCGACTCCGAAAGCTCGAACACGGCATGAAATAGTTGCGCTACGGACATTTTCCTGATTGCTGCCGTGAAAATGTAGGTGATGCACAAAACTCAATCATGAAAAGGAATTTTTCCACTTTTACAAGCTTGTAGGTGAACAGACATAATCTCGTATAAGTTCATGGAAGCATGATGATTGTAGTGGAAGCTGATACGGAAGCTGAACGAGCGCCATCGTCATACATTCAAGGAGGTCACGCTCTCCTTTGGTGTGCAGGCGCATTGCTATCGTATTGTAAATCATTTGAAGAACAAATGTAACATCGAAGCAAGTACCACGAAAACGAGCAGTCGAGGAGTCAGACACCGCAGATTGCATTTTAGGATAAAAGCAAGGTGAATAAAATCACTCCGAGATCCACACTTTGGTGTAATTAAGTATTGTAAGAAAAATGTGACTGCTTCGGCTTGCTCTTACAACTTCGATATGGTCAGAGAAGCAAAGAGTAAAATTTTTCATTCAGAATTCTTAAACATCTTGTTGTAACCTTCCAGTCATTTTCGAGATTTTTTATCCTAATGAGTTATTTTTATACTGTAGCTCTAGATCAGCTCTCCATTCGTCACAACTTTTTTTTGTTACACTAGATGGCCCGTCTCCACATGTTGTGCGCAACGCCAAACTTCCTCCTTTTCATTGCTTTGCAGTCAACATTCCACTAGCTGAATTTACGAGTGTCATTTTCCTTGAACCCTCAGACAGTAGTGTTAGCTGGCCCTCAGTTCTTTAACGGCAGATACTCGTGTGATTGATCAAGAGATAACTGGTCGAAAATGTCATAACAAACTGAATAGCATTGCTGCATAAACCTAGCAATTTCTATACTTGCCTCGCCATCAACTATCAATCTTAACATTGATGCCACCTTCCCATTTTATTAAAGTTTGCGCATTGTTTGCTAATTTTTGCGCAAGTTCAACTCTACTTAGGGCAAAGTTCAATCTTAGTAGCGTGATTCCTATAAAACTCTGACCCTAGGTCTAACTATGGGCTCAACTTGAGTTCCAGAAGAAAACCACTTTGCAGAGTTATAAAAGAAAACTGTGGACTATTCTGAAACTTGATTAATGTTGCTCGTTTACTTAACGAAAAACCTTGTGTACTCTAATTACACCAATACAACGACCCATCTGGTGAATTAGCGCTTTATTTGTCAGCACAACGATTCGAAATTACCTCGCTGTTCGATTAAAGAACTACTTCGGATAATTTCCTAGATATTCCACCATCTGTTTCCAGCAAAAAAAAAAACACATTTGGACCACAGATTGTCGTCCTGATAACATTCTATCTTATTGCTTATTAAGTAGAGAGCAGACAATTTTTTTTATATCGGATATATTCTTATCGCCAATGATTGACCGAGGACTAATGGCTGCACAATAGTCATGGGTGACCAAAACCCGCGTACTGCAACGGTTCCAAGCTTCTTACTCCTTAAGCAGACTTTTCCATCAGGACGCTTCAATAGTAAACTTTGCTAAGAATCAGCCAGTCTCGTATGGCTACTGTATCGTCAGAAACAATAGAAAGAAGTGGTATCACATCAAGACCTTGTTTATGTTCTGTTCATTTTGTCGTTCTTTAGCACCCGATACGGTGAAATAAAGTTTACTGATGCCTACTTCAGCTTCCTGATGATTAACGGGGCAGCAAATTACACGATTCTGTACGACAACTGACGATGTTCAGCTCAATGATTGGATTGCGATCAGATTCTACAGCACTTTCCGAAGCCGAAATTGCAATAAAAAAGGCTATGGTGACTGTTTGGTGGCCTGCAACCGGGCTGATCTATCACAGGTTTTTTAATCCAGGTGAAACGATCACGGCAGAGAAGTATTGCCAAACAAATCGGCGAAATGCACCGTAAACTCCAACAACAACGACCGGCATTAGTTAACAGAAAATAACCAATCCTTCTCCACGACAACGCCTGGTCTTGCAGAAGTCAGGCTACGAAGCTTTGCCTCGTCCACCATATTCGTCAACCTCTCGCCTTCCGACTATCACTTCTTCAAGCTCCTTGACAACTTCCTGCGCTTCACATGTCTACAACAACTTCATCGCTTCCAGAGTTCTACATAAACTTGCTTCTAGTTGGCAAAAATGTATAGGTTTAAATAGTTATTACTGTAATTAATAAAGTTTTGTTTGAACCAAGCAATGTTGTTCTAAACAACATAGTTAAAAACGCTCATTTATTCCCGAAAAATCCAATGTATGTATATAGGTGGATACAGCTTAACATTATTCAACATCTTTTGCTGATAGGCTTTCTAATTTGTGGCTATCTGACTATGGTAATATCGACATCGCCACCGTCCGACGCTCCGAAGATGACAAGAACGTTGAAACATTGATATACCTAGTGAAAAAAAGCAAAGAAATTTTCCTCTCTCATAATATTAGGGCGCGAAATAGCCATCAGTGTCACAAACTTTCCATATGAGTGAAGCGGTGCGATCTGAGTCAGTTCCTCCTGAAGGCGATGATCATGGTTATTTGGGACGTCGTGCCGATGAGTTACATTGCAATACGTAATATTTTCTCTAAGTTATTCTTATTATGATAAAAGCATGGAAGACGTGTTCGGAGTTTAAGGTATGCAATGATCTCGACTCTATTCCTATAATCGTAGAGGTGACTAAATGCATACTTCGCCCATACAACGGCTTTCGCATGTTTACCAGAGTTTCTAACAGCAAAACAATTTTACAACCAATTTACTGAATCGGGAAGCATGGAAGGCTTAGTTAGTCTGGGACATGGGTTCGAACCCCATGTTGCGCTTCCTTTTTCTTACTAACCTTATTGATGAAATTGATCAATGTCGAAAACTCTATCAATACAAGTTGCTCACTATTTCTGTTTATGAGTTTTTTCAACTGCTTTTGTAACGGCAATTTCAGTGCTGCTAAATATCAGAATAACTGCTTGAGAAACAAATCGATTGACATGAATTTCTTGGGGATCTATCAAAGCTTCTTAAATAAGCTTAATTCTCCAAAACCGAAACAGGAGAACGTTGTGCTGACAAAGTGAAGATCAAAATCTTCAGTCACAATGTTGTGGACAAGTATTCCTTTACATCAAGAGAGTTCTTCAAACCCACATCTTTCCTGATGTCCAAACAAGTCGCTCTACAGTGGCAAAGATCAGCATGTATGGAATAGCTAGCTGAGTGATCCGACTGGCAACGTAGGCGGGAATGATATACATGTAGTAGAGCAAAAAAAGACTCTGGAAAAATACATAATCTCATTTGTGCTTCATCATATTTAATCTATTCTCAGTCTTACACTTGAACAATGCTTGGCATGACATTCTAGATATATTTAATGTTACTGCTAAAGTTAGACCACCGACGCGATGGTTAGACTTCTTCACAAAAAACCTAGAAGAAAGGTATGATGCTCAACGAGTCCCTAGAGCGAGCAGAGCCCACTGAGCTACTCTTGCACGCGACAGGGAAAAATGTGAGATTTACTGACGTCCGCTTGGGTCACTCGTCGATGAACGCGACGACAGGTGGTACAGGTGATACTGCAAAATTCACTTCCATATACATTTCAATCCAAGAAGTTTACCTTATTACTATTTGAAGAACTCTATTGAAGAGTGATTGATTCTTGTTTAAAACTTATTATGAAGAATTTATTAAAATTAGAGAAAAATTACATCAACATTTTGTTTTCGAGCTAATTTTCTCCTTAAAGATTTTTCTAGGCTACAAAAATAGTACGTACCTCAATTCTTAGAAAACTCACTGCAGCGTCAACACCGAACAATAGTAGATACTCAAGGCAAATAGCAAAATCCAAAAATGCAAGTAAAGTAGGATAGAGCGTGGCCGGTGTGATCTTTGTCTAAAGTGATAATCGGTAATCGATAGATCGCACATCGATCGATCAATCAATGGACTATGGCGAGTTGTTGGATCACCATAACGTGGTGCAGATTAAATTGCATTATAGTTACCCTAGGTCTAAAGTTCTAATACTGGCCATGATAAGCAATAGAAAAGCGTATATTACCTTCTTAGCAGCAAAAATATACATAAGCAATAGATTGCCGGCCGTACCAAGGCATGCGATTACGGTAGCTATCGTGATGAAAATGAAACGCACTGTAGTATAGGTTTCATACTGTAAGTGTAAGTGTTATATAGTGTCCATTGTTGCAAAGGAAGTGTCAAAGAAATATTAGCCAGGTTTTGCCGGTTAATTGAAAACGTACTCCAGCATTTCGGTGGAGCCTTAACAAACACAGTTTGTTGTTTAAGAATATTGTAGTGTGAAATACTAAAGTCCTCCCAACGGTTTACCGCCACATCGTGGCTGGGAGGTGTTCCTGGGTGTCGGACTGCGATGTACAGCGGGTGATTCATATCCTGACAGAGTCCCCCAAGCTAAGGAGTCCGGCGTTTCCATCAGGAAGCCTAGCTAAGAGTAAATCAATACCAGGATCCACCACCGTCCAGGTATCAAAGTCGCATGGTAGTAAATCTCTCCCTGATCTACAAGGGCTGCGACTGCCCGTGGTGGTGAAGACCTGGAGCAGACTTTGGCCAGACTGACCTCGGGACTTCAGGGAACTAAAATGGCTTAACCAGCAAATCTCCGAAAAGTGGAGATTGTGCTGGGGCCCGCACAACCAGTGAGGACGGGCCATTCAAGTATCAAGTAAGTAAGAAATACTAAAGTTTGAAAAAACACCGACTTTAAAGAATGTAAAATGAAAGTCCTATATTTTCCATCGAAAAACAGTAGATGTAATTCATTAACTCCTACAAAATGCAAAGCAGAAGAGCATGTTATGGTTTTTTGGCACAGTTCGAAAGCAAACAGGTGTTACAGTTACTCAATGACCCTGTAGTACAACGTATTTAAGTTAAAAATAAACTCATTTTCGAAGAGATATGAAAGAGTGGTCCCACGTTGGCAACAAAAACGACTTGACCCATTTCATTTAAACCAAAATGTTTTCTTAAAGATACTATATAATCCTCTTTTGAAACAGATAAGGGCCAAATAATGTACCTGGGCACAAAGTGGATCCATTTCATCTTCAACAGAACCGTTACTGAGCATTATCTGAAAATTCAACAGATATTGTCGACGAAAGGATGGAGTGAAAACGTTCATAAACGTGATGAAAACCGAGTAAAAGCGCGAGAGCAAGGAAATAATATTCACAGATTAGTTTGGCTTAAAAAAAACAACATTTTCTGTGGCAGCTGGAAAGAAGCGCAAAGAAAAACACAATGAAGGAAGTGGAACCGATGTGTTGAAAATTGAAAGCAGGAGAAAGATGATGGATGGAAAACTTATAAACATATTTGTCCATAAAAAAGTAGAGTGAGGCGTAGAGAGCCTAGCGGTAGAGATCGTGAAAAATAAAGACCTAGGAACCTTCTAGTAGAGAATTTCTGTCCCACCATTCTGAAGTCAACCACCAACCAAACCCCTTACGCGAATCCGAGGAACTTCCTTGATGAATGATACGACTGAACGAACCGAGTGGCAACTACTCGCATGTCCATATAATGTGATGAATAAATAAAAAAATAAAACGAATTTACAGAAACAAAGAGACAGAGAAGCACAGAGCAAGAGGAAGGGCGACAGGATGGACGTAGGATGGTTCGAGAGTGGGTTTAAGTGTTTTTGACAAGTCTTGTGTTCGAGAAAACACCAAACTCGAAAATAATAAAGAATGTTTAACGTTTTGTTTTCTGCCTTCTATAATTTTCATGGCAGGTTACTAAGCGAAATACAACCACAACGTTGCTGAGATATTTGCAAAACTCTGGACCGCAGGTGTCTACGGTGCCCTCGGAAAGGATAATAGCGCGTTCGTTCCCCACTATTTATATATAATAGCGGTTGTATTTCGCTTAGTAACCTGCCATGAAAATTATAGAAGGCAGAAAACAAAACGTTGAACATTGTGATTTCAACTACAGCCATAGCTTAACTGGGTTCTATGCCGATTTGCGCTCCCCAGATCAACCCCGCTGACGGGTGATTGCTGTGGCAAAAAGATCGATAGAAATAGCTGAAAGACAGGCGAAACGAAGGACCGGCATGGTGTGGTGGTGAGCGCGTTACTCCCCGGAAGGGACAATAGCGCGTTCGTTCCCCACCGTAGACACCTGCGGTCCAGAGTTTTGCAAATTTCTCAGCAACGTTATGATAATAAAAAATATTCTAATGACACATTTTCCTAAATTCGTTCAATGTCTTGTTGACAAGGAATTTTCATTTTTACATTAGAACAACCTAAAGGAATTATTGATTTTTTGCATTAAGGAAACACATTTATACTAGTGTAGTTATGGTTTTGTTCAAATAACATTATTAGGCCTATATGGTGTAAAAAATATTTTTCACCACAGCAAAAAAAGTGTTGGCTTAGCAGAGAAAAATAATTTAGAGAGCTAGGTAGTGGAAGACAGAGAGAGACAGAGCGAGACAGAGAGAGAAAAGCAGAAGAAAAGAGAAGGATAAATGAGAAGAAAGCGTTATAAAGGTATCGAGGCATAAAACAATGAACATTGTTTGACGGACTAAAAACAGCACAATCAGTTTTAATGTAGATAGAAAATAAACGAGAAGTATGTGTTAAAGATGAGAGACACACAGTAGCAGAGATGAAGGGCAAAACCGAAGGAAATTCAATTAAATCTAGTTCTGAATAAATGCTGGAAGCATAAAAAAAATGGAGAAAAATTACCATCCACGAAGAACTAGCATCTTCAGCTTTCTGCAGTTTTCTTTTTCTTCTTATTTCCTCTTTTATTAAAAGAATTGCCACGAGACAATCTCTGGATGAGTATTACTGCAGATTCTGACTGAGGTACTGGTTAAGTAAGGTTTTGTTTTAGAAAACACTAAGAACAGACCGGGTAGTGCAGCGATGTTTTTCAGTAATACATACGAGGGTCAAGTTCTCTCCCATTCCAAGGTTGATACTATAACTGAACGAAAAGAAGTCTCGGCGACCCACAAATGGCTGGAGTGTCCCATTTGTGAAGACCTGAGAACGCACTCCAATCGAAAATCGGAAGACCTTCGTGGATAACGGATTTGAGAACTAATTGAATCAAAAAAGTATTGGAATCCGCGCAAAAAATCTGATCCAGAGTTACTTAACAGAAGTGACCTTACTAAGAAATCACATCTTTTACTACTTCTGGTAAAAGTGCTTGTGAATAAAGAGTTGAGTTAGAGTGCTTTGAGATGTGATGAGGTGAACAAAAAAGAAGTAGAAGGGTGAAAAAACAAGGAAGGCAGGCGGAGTTGTCGCTGAGAGTTGGATCCGCCCAAGGAAGTGAAACCAAGCAACAAACATATGCACTGATAGATCAACACATATACACCCATATACAATATATATATATATATATACACACACACACATACACACACACACACACACGCACATATATACATACCTACGTGCGTGAGGAAAGCGAAATCCGCCGAAACGTCAGCTTATTCGTGAATAAAGAATAAAAGTAACACCTCGCGTTTGCTCAACAAGAATACGAAGAAATACCTACGAACATTCATGTATACATACATACGCGCACTACCGAAACAGCGCTTCACATGCCTCGATACAACCGATGAGAACCGAATCAGATTTTTACACAATGATACACAAGTTGTAATCCATAAAACGATTTTTATATAGACAAACACATGGACATACGTAAACACCTATTTAGACCTGGCTAGATACACTTACACACTTTGGTAAATATCTGCACACACTGATTTCATGTGGTACACATTGATGAAGACAGAGATACACCTATACACATTGAAGCAGATGCCAGTGGATAAATCCACCTTGACATGCACAACAATACAATGTGATACACTCCCTACTCGTATATACAGACTCTTTCAAAAGTAAACAATGAAATCTAATATACTGGAGGAAAGAACAGCAATTGGAAAAGCTAGGCAAAAGAACGGCCTTTCGGAAAATCTGCACCAATCCCGAACTACGCTATACCCTTGGATACGCAGAAAGCCACAAATACATGGAGTAATTCAATATTAGCTCTATTTTGTTCTTTTTTTTTCAATAAAAGCGCCAAAACGTAGATTTTGTACTTGTGGAAAAACTGGCGAACAAACGAAAAATTTCACCTTTTCCAAACTAATAAGGCGAGAGCATAAAGAACATGAAATCTAAAGCAATTAAAAGAGTCGTCCCTCTAGGGTGTTCCGTTCACATCGTGGCTCAGAATTGCTCTTCAGTGGGAAATTAAACTGTGCAACTTGTTCATCCTCCATAAAGGTCTCCAAAATTGGGAAGGTGTTTGAAATCTGTACGTGTAAGCCCATTTAAGTGAAACTGAATTCTTGGAGTCACTGCCATCCTGGTAGAAACCCAGTCGCATGCTGACAAATTGATCTGCAATCCACAAGGACCGGCGAGTGCCAGTGTTGATGACTAGGGAATACCTTAGCATGGATCTCACTCTACGTTAGGAAAAACTTTGCTTAAGCAGCAGCTAGATTGAAGTTTTTCTAAATCTCGTACAATTCTTTCAGAAGATGGACCATAAGAAATCAAACGTTGTAGATATTCAAGTCTCATTTTGCCATTTTTTCCATAACACGTGTGGAAATCGATAATCTACAAACTAGCTGTTCGAAATGGAGAAAAAGGTGAGAAGGGTGTTTTCCACAGATTTTGGAAAACTCTCAGCAAATGTCGAACTAAAGATTATCAAGTAACATCTACGTGGCTAGTAGACTGGACTGACTGCATATGGCGCAGTGGTCGAAGGCGTCCTGCAGCACACACGTGGAATCGATTCCCGCACCCATGGCCCACCAAGTCTTCTATCCTTCCGGGATCGCAAAATTGTACTACACTTGTCTGGAAAGGTAGCAGCACCGGCTGGACACATCGGTAGACCACCACGAGTCATTGTAAAGACCAGATTTGCATTCAATCACCTCCGAACGATGCTTAATGAAATCGAATGCATGGCGCATCTCTCAGGGAGTGACCAACGTCGACAGCTTTATACTTTATCCTTTATCCACAGGCTACGACAAATTACTTAATGATTCCAAAAGTTGTAAAACGAATTCTAACTATGAAACTTGGAAGAGAGAATTTGCACATTCATTCTATTCTTACTTCCATACTGTATGGGAAAAAAGTCTCGCCGTTATTGTGAAGATATTGAAGGAGCCTGAAGTTAAGGAATACCTTCAGTACATAGTACCCTTTGAATCTTATCTGACTAGATAAACATTTTCAATAAGTATTATTGAACCTGCATTACAAGGTAGAACTAGTAAGTGAAATATCATTTTCCCACTTGCCTTTCTAAGAAGCAGGAGAGGAGATGGGAAAGAATAAGGTAGCGGAAGCTATTGTTCGAACGGCCGCATCTATTATTCACATTTGGACTCTTCATTGGACATCGTGTAGTAGTGGTTTAGATTTCGTCATGTGTTCATAGACCACTAGAAGAAATTAGAACAACGATAAATAGTCGAAAACACAATGAAATCCAAAAACTGAACAAGAAGCCCATGAATGACATTTGTTCCCTATTCTCATGTCTATCAAAATGTTCGCATTTGTGTTTGATAGCTTGCATCGACGCCTGAAATCTCCTAAATACTTCCACCCTTCCTTCTTAAATGAGAGTACCACGAATAGCGGTAAGACAAAAATCAAAGGCGTGTAAAAAGTAGGCTTTCCTTCAATTCGATTCGTTGCCTACAACTCACGATCAGGACTAATTTCTTAGGCGGTCGTCTGCGATGAAGCTATTATTCTTCATTATGTGCTAAACATGCCATACATGATTCATACCAGCTAATGTGCTACCTCTACATCAAGTGTAAAAGAAGCAGCTTCGTCACCTACAACAGTCTCTGTACTATGCTGAGATATTTGCAAAGCTCTGGACCGCAGGTGTCTGTGGTGGAGGAACAAAAGCGCTATTACTTTTTCTGAGGGCTAACGCGTTCTCCATCAGACCATGCGGATCCTTCGTTTCGCACGTCTCTCAGCTAATTTTCAATCTACCAGTGCCATCAGCGATAAC